ATACAAGTAATTTTTATATTTTTCTTTAGGTGGAAGTGGTATATATTACTGATGTTAAAGTTGTCAGGTAGAAGACCTAGCAAAATCAAGGATGCCCCTTCCTCACCCTCTGCTACTTGTATCTGTTATTATCCAGCTGAAGGGACTGTGTAAAAATTCAGTGGTCTGCAGGCTTGTCCATGGATTTCACATTTCAAAGTCTGTTCTTGGAGTATAAGCCTATGTGAAAAACAAAGTATCTCAAATATGCAAAACTTAAAAAGTGGGACAACCACTTAAAAGGAGATGCCTATTTACACAAAAGATTAACCAGTTTATTTTCTTTGGTAATCAGATATTTATATATGTGTATGTATATACATATGTGCTATGCCCCACATTCAGAAATCTACTCATTTGCATATAGACACATCTGCTTCTCTAATTTTCTTTTTTAAATTGTAGCATTTTTTTTTTCTATTCTATATATAACACATAGGTTAGTAGAAAATGTGTAAAGACAGTGAAAAGTAAAAGTAAAGTAAATAAAGAAAAGTCATTTATAACCCAAGAGTAAGCAGTATTAACATTTTGTTGGACTTCTTGAGAATGGTTTTTCTGCACATATTTATTCTAGATTATTTTGAAAAGAAATTAGAATAAATATTTCTGTATTCCACTATTTTGACTAGCATATGATCAACACTTTGGTATCCCATTAGATATTTTTCTCAAACATTGAAAAAAAATTAATTCATGATATCCATTCATAGACATGCCAAGATTTATTTAGCCATTCTTTCATTTTTGGACACTCCATTTTTTTTTAATTTCTAATATTCCTGTGATTATCCTCGCAGAGTTTCACAAAATTTCGAGTAACATTGCATTATAACATTATTAAGTTTCACACCCTGGCATATCTGAACACATTTCTGGTTATTTTCTCAGGCTGATTTGAGAAGTGGGGTTACTGTGTAACTTTGAGTTTCTTGATGCATACAACCAAATTGTTTTATGGCACTTCCATTTGAAAATACTTTATTTGAAACCTTCCTTCTATTTACAAGTAATTTTTACCTCCACTCCCATTGCATCCTGTGTCTTGCTGTTCTTAACCCTTTCTACACTGAATTTGTACTAGTTCTCCAATGAGGAGACCATCTCTGACCATTTTCTTGTCTCCCTCAGCATCTACACAGGTGGAAAAAAGTGGTCAGAGAACTTTATCTGCTTAGGGGAATCTGTAAGCTGAAGAGGAGCTCTCTTCAGAGAAGGAGCAAGGTGAGTGGCTTGAATTTCATACTTAGGGGTGGGGTGACAACACTGGTTCAAGGGGAAGAAAGGGATTTTCCTCAACCCTTCATACTCAGACTCTGAGTGCTGGGAAAAGATGAAATACTAGTCAAGTCAAAAGCCTTAGCTCACTGGTGGGGCTTCTAAGGGCAGGGAGTGGGGCAGAAGCTTGGTGGCCACAACCTCACGTTGTCGAGGGAGAGGGGCATTTCCAGGCATTCACTTGGTAGAAGCAACTTGCTATGAATACTGTGGGCCACTCTTTTTTGCACCCAATTGTACCACTACTAACCATCCCAAAGGCCTTGACCTGGGGAAACACCTGCAGGGCTGATTATAGAGGCTTAAATGAAATGTTTTTAGATTGGAGTTTCCCAAACTTCAGTTGTACCTTGTTCATGATTTTAACATTTTAGTGAAGCGAAAGTAACAATATGCACAGACACACAGATCTGTGATTTGTATTATCCAAACCAGTCATGCTTCTGAACAGTTAGACAGATACAATTACAAAAACATTCAGGGTGTGCCCAGTTCACTGTCAAGGTCTGCATTAGGTGGTGAAACACTCTGTGCTGCTTACTTTAGTTGTATCCTAAGCAATAACAATGTTGAAATCACAGATTTGATGGATTATGTTTTTTTTCAAGATTTATTTATTTATGCATACAAGAACTAGGGTACAGGCCAGAGATGCAGGGGGTGAGAAGATTCACCAGAGACAGGGTAGGGAACAGAACAGGCAGACTGAGTGAAATACACTGCTGAGGGGAGCAGCGGGTGAGACAGGAGAGGTCTGCTGCACCATGTGGGTTGCTCCCTGGCCGGCTGGGGATCAAACTCGCGCTGCAGAAGCTGCAGATTGCTTCATAGTGAGGTGCTTAACCCCTTGCGCCACCAGGGAGGCCCCTATTTATGTTTTTTGTAATACAAATTATAACTATAAAGACAACCTTGACAATAAAATATTGTCAGCCATTGGTAGTGCCTTTACTACCTCTTGGTAGCAATTGCACCATACTTTTGGGAAATACTGTTTTAACTAAATATTTTCCTTATGTCATAATTAACTGTGTATGTTTCTTCCTCTTAATTCTAAGGTTTCTAAGGTCAGGTATCACATTTAGTACAATGTTGAAGCTCAATAAATATTTGTTCCTCATTTGGCTTGGTTTGGTTTGGTTTGGTTTGGTGATGGGGTTGTAATCAGTAGGAGTTAATTTATGTATTTAACATAAATGAAGTCTCCAAGATCAGGATTATAAAAGGTAGAGCAATGTTTATATGGTAAGGAAAGCTGCCTACTTTAAATATTATGCCAGGATGGGAAAACAATAAGTCTTTCACATACTTTCTGTCCTTCTTGGGATAAATAACACATTTACAAGTTTAAGAATTAGTTTTGGGGCTAATAAATAGAGCAATATTATTTAGCTCATGCAGAATATTATTTAGCTCAATATTATTTAGCTCAACCCACTACAACCATCTCATGAATTTTTCCATACCTAGCAAGCATAGAGACATGAATGACATTTATCAGTAAATATTAATTGAATGAGTGGATGGAATGGCTTACCTTAGTCAATAGATCTTTACCACCCCTGAGAAGCCATCATCAACAACAATAAAATGGAGGATCTACTATTTATTCAGAACATGATACTCTAGGGTCTTTATATGTGTCTGTCTTCTGGATTTCATATGACAGCTGCTATATCATGTTATCAGGGCGAAGATACCTCCACATGTTCTTAACCAAAACTCACCTTCTCAGAAGACCATGGTGACTTAGTTTCTGAAATGGATCAAAACTTTATGTGATCCAGGGAGCTGGATAGAAAGTTGTAGAAACTAATAGATAAACTTCTGGTCAACCAAGTAAATAAATGATGAAAAGAAGGTGTGGAAAAAATATATCAGAAAAAATATATATTAAGAGAGAAAATAACTCTACTGAAGAAAGGGAGGGTACCTTACCACTCTAGCTACACATTAAAAGCAGAGACACTTATTAATGCCTGGCCAGTGATTTCCTCCTCCTTAGTCCTACCTGCCTCTTTCTGAATCTTGCTTTCAAATGCAGAGTCATTAGCCTGTAAATCAGCACATAAGAAACTTGTTCTTCAGAGACTGAAAGTGAGCAGTACTGTTTCTTTAGATATTAAAGACCAATGGAAGCAAAAATAAGATGAAGTAAAAAAAGAATACACACTGTGGTCAGAAGACCTGTGTTGCAGTCCTTATCTGTCATAGTCTGGCTGAGTGACCTTTTGCCTATTACTAATCCCCTCTAACTCATGGTTTTCTTTACTCATTCATTTAGCAAATATTTTCCAAGTGGTTCCTGTGTACCATGCTGGCCAGACCTCTGGGCTACAACAATGAATAAAACAGGAGGTCCTGCTCTCGTGGGAGTTCATGATTTCTAGTGAGATCACAATACATAATCAATAACAAAACAATGCAACTGTAGATAGTGAGCAGTGCTGTGGAAGAAATAAAACAAATGAGGGAAGAAGACAAATTGTGGGGGAGTGCTCTTACACAGAGACTGGAGGGAAGGTCTCCCTGAGGCAGTAACATTTGAGTCAACATTTTAATGTCCTAGAAGGAACCAGCCAAGGGAAAGAGTATCTCAGGTCAAGAGACCAGCAAGCCCTGAGGTGGGTCCACCTTTTGGACTGGATGACAATCAAAGAAAGCGGCCCTGTGAAGCTGTACTAGATGAGTGGTTTTGAAATAATAGTGTAAGTAATCCTAGAAATTTGAAGGGTGAAGGATCCAAGGGCAGAGACCCCACCAGACTCCCAGCACCCTACCCAATACCCTTGTGCACATGCACACGTACACACACACACACACACACACACCAACCTCTCTTAAGTCTGAAGCATGTACTGGGGTGTTGCTTAAATTTTCGTTGCAATCCTATGATCAAAAATTCCTAATCTCAAAGGTCCTTCCCCAAATCAGTGAAAGTTTATCCTACAACCTCTGTGATGGTTCTGGAAGGATTGGCTGGACTGTATTCAATAGACAGAGTTGGGAAGTGCCAGCTCTCCTCTCACCAGAACATTCCAGTCCCTTCCCTGATGGTGGTAGATTGGGACTCCTGATGATCTCCCAGTGTGTCCCAGCAGGGAGGAGCACGTTTCTGCCTCCTCCTTGTGGATTATATATTGATTTCCTTTCCTTGCTCTCTCCAAGTGAGACACTGTCCTACACAGGAGAGCTTTGTGGAGAAAGCTGAGGAATGGCTCCGTTTTTTCCAACCGGGAAAATGCAAAGTTGGCCCGCTGCCTCTCTTCCTAACCCCAAAACTCATATCTTTCCTTGTCTCCAGAGGACTGCCCAGCAGCTCTCAAATAAGTCTCTACTGTCTTGGGGTTTTCAGAAAAGTGCTGCACGGAATGTGAAATCATTTTCTGGTAACATGAATCTAATTAGCCCTTTGACTGACAAGGGGAGGCAGAGGCCAAGAGGGATTTAAACAATTCCTTTCTCACATATTTCAAAACAAGTGAAGAACTAGACAGGGAAATGGAGAGAAAGAGAGAATAAAGAAATAAAGCTTAGGGGGGCATTTGGAAGAGGGTAAATAAGAAAGAATGGGGGAGGAGCTGCTAGAGGGAGAATATTAAGTGTCCGAAATATTAATCCTTTCATTCCCCAACTTCATCTCTGCTCCCAATCCCCACTTCTCTCTGCCAGAGAGGACTTACCTGAAAGTCTATGGTTTCTCTTTCTGATTCCATCTTGCTGCCCTCAAGTGCCTCACACACCCCGGGTGCCGGTCCCAGACTGTGTGGGCTACTCCAGGCTCTGCTGTCTGCGTCTGCTGCTTTCTTTGGGTGGGAGAGAGTACACAGCTGGCAGGACAGACCTGCTATTCATCCATCCGATGTGGGATGCCTGTCTTTGGGCTCAGCCCCGGGGGGAGGTACACGTGCATACACTTGTGTGTATGTGTGTATGCGAGCACACTCCAGCGGGTGGCACATCAATAGGTGGCCTGCTGAGTTGGTAGTGACAGCCCAGGGGCTCGAATGCCCTCCAGGCCCAGAGATGCCATCTGAGGTCATTCAGCTTTGAGCTGAGCTTTGAGCTAGTGACTTTGCAACTGGCATAGACACTCTGCAAATTTATCAAGGAATTTGAAAAACAACCTGAGGGGGGCTGCCTGACTTCACAACGGTGGACCTAGGAGGGTACCCAGTCACCAAGGATGGGGTGACCACCAGCAAATTCCTAAGACAGAAGTCCAGGCACTTCTGCTATTCTTCCCTATGTTCTCTCCAGCTCCAAAGTTAAAAAAAAAAAGTCGTTTACTGAAGAGGTCCCAAAACATAAAACTTATTCTCCAAACAAGCATTATTGACAGGTTGTTTGTTACTCTCATTTTCTTTCTTCATTAGCCAGAAAGAGAGCAGGAAAATGTTATACCTTCAAATTCTGTTTATGCCAGTAGTTTTCCCTACTTTGAAAAGAAAAGCTACCAGGCGTGAGTCTTTTTTTGGAGATATTTTCTTTCTCTTGTTTACCTTACAGCCTACAACTCTCGGGACTTGTTCCTGAAGATAGTTTTATTTTATTTTTATTTATTTGTTTGTTTGTTTGTTTGTTTATTTATACAAGCACTGGGTACAGTCAGAAGCGCGGGAGGGTGAGAGAATTCACCAGAGCCAGAGCAGGGAGCAGAGCAGACAGAAGGACCAAAGTACACTGCTGAGGGGAGCAGCAGGCGGCAGGAGAGGTCTGCGCGCCATGTGGGACCCTCCTCTGGTGGCAGGGAAGCAGCCGGGGATCGAACCGGCGCTGCAGAGGCTGCGGGCAGCTTTGCTGCGCCACCAGGGAGGCCCCTGAAGCTAGTTTTAGACAGCAGCTTGTTTATGTGTGGCTTTGTCTATGAGTGAGCATGGGGAGAAGAGGACCGTGTTAAAGGGGGAGGAATCCAACTGGTAGTTTAAAAGGGGTGAAGGGTTGGGCCTCCCTGGTGGCACAGGTGGTTCAGTGCAGGTTCAATTCCCAGCTGGCCAGGGAGTAACCACATGGCGCAGCAGACCTCTCCTGTCTTGCCGGCTGCTCCCCTCAGCAGTGTATTTAGGTCAGTCTGCCTGTTCCCCGCCTGTTCCCCACTCTGTCTCTGGTGAATCCTCTCATCTTCCCGCACATCTGGCCTGTACCCCAGCTCTTGTATGCATGAATAAATAAATCTTTAAAATAAATAAATAAAAATAAAAATAAAAGGGGTGGCGAGGTGAGGAGCAGCAGGGCCACACGACATTTATTCTCATCATGCTCAAATGTAACCCCTTACAATTGCTTTATTTTAAAAAAAAACAATAATCTAGTAATGTATTTATAAGCCTCCATCCTGCTGGACTAGTAGGGAAAGGGAGAATTGGGCAGTGTGATGAAGACTATATTTCAGGGGCCTCCCTAGTGGCACAGGGGTCTCAGCACTATTAAGCTATTGCCAGCCACTGCAGCCTGAGTTTGATCCCCAGCCAGGGGACTGACCCACAGGGCGCAGCAGACCTCTCCTGTCTCGCCCACTGCTCCCCTCAGCCGTGTATTTCAGTGGATCTGCCTGTTCTGCTCCCCACTCTGTCTCTGGTGAATCCTCTCATGCCCCGTTCCTCCGGCCTACACCCCAGCTCTTGTATGCATAAATAAATAAATTTAAAAAAAAACTATATTTCAGTCTAATCTTGAACGTAGTTGGACTTCATTTAGATGGTGAACAGTCTAGTTTCGAGAAAATGCTCAGTCTTTCAGTTTTCCACCCCTCCCCCAGAAAGGTGGCACCTGGGTGCATGGGAGAAAGGCATGGTTTAATATGCTCGGTGGTAGAGAGTGATGAATCTCGGATGTGCTCTGGGCCTGTCCATCTCTGCTGGTCTCTGCTGTGGATCTGCTGGTAGGTGGTCACTTCTCTCCCTTCTCCCTCCCCTTCCTCTCTACCCCCAAGTTGTTGGCTGCTGAGAAGAGACTGCGCCTGCTCCTTGGTCTCTGCAGGCCTGGTGGCTCAGGTGTGGGGACAGGATAACTCATGGTTCATTCTTTTTCTGCTCTTAAGGACCCAGTGTGCTCCCTTATCAATTCTGCCACAGTGTAGCTTTTGTGGTGATGTGGGCCATCCTGAGGCCTCCTCTGACTTGAGGTGCTCCCATCTCTGTAGTACCAGCTCAGTGGTCCACCCCAGTGAAAAACTTTCAGACCAGACCCTGGGCTAATGCTCCTGCATCCTTTGGGTATGTAGGGCTGAGGGCTGCTGACAGTCTCTGGATATGGTCAGCTGAACCCCACTTCCAGTAGAGTTTGCTTTGATGTGGCTGTTTCACGTTGTGGTGATCTCCCTCCAGACTACAAAACGAGAGTAAGATATAGAGCCAGCTCTTTTCTCAGCATCACTTGAAAAAAATCTACCAATAATAGCCATTGTTTTCACCACCCCCTTATAACAACACCCTTGTGTGACAAGCACTCTAACACAGCTCACTGCCTTCTCAGAGCAATTCTGTAAGGTAGGTAGTGTTATATCCTTGTTTTACAGGTAAGAGGACAGAAGCACAGGGAGCTTAAATTGCCTAAGTTTTAACCAAGATTTGAAGCCAGGCAAGCTGAATTGACTCCACGCTCTTCTCCGTGATTTTGGCTCCGAGAGTAGAGATTGGGACATATGCTTTCTGTTCCATAATTCCATAATCTAGGATCAGGAAAGGTAAGCTCTTTCTTTTCTTTTTTTTTTTTTTTTCCTGTTTGTTTGGAAAAATACCTTACATGGAAGCCTATGATAATCACTCAAAGAGGAAATAAATTACTACAATCTTTATTCAACAAAACCTGGCAATCAAACATAAACTGTCTTGCTGGAAAACCTTATTTGGGATGTCAGGAGCAAAACTATTTCTTTTTGCATTCTTGTGACAATTTTGATCCCCTCAGATAGTATGGATCCATCTGACTGATAGAGGGGAAATTGAGCAAGAAAATACAAAAAAGACAAACACCTGAATATCTATATCTATAGATCTGTGTATCTATGTGTACACACACACACACACACACACACACACACACCCTTGTTAATAAGTTAATAAGCACATTGGTTCTAAAAGAAAACACTCATAATTGCCTTAATAATGGTTATAGTTTGGAGAGATTTTTCTAGATTTGAACCTTTCCACACCTCATAGGCATCATTTGGAAATAAATAGCAAGCAAAATTTGGAAAGTAGTTTATCTACTGTAATTCTGGATCAGGAATCAGCAAAGTTTTCCTGTAAAGGGCCAGAAAGCAATTATTTTTTAGTCTTGTGGACCATATGTTTTCTGTTGCAACTCCTCAGCTCTGCTATTGTAGCAGGAAAACCACCATTGACTAAGTGTAAATGTGTGAGTATGGCTGTGAGTGCCAATAAAACTTAACTTACAAAAGGAGATAGTGGTCCAGATTTGGCCCCGCGGGTCATAGTGTGCTGACCTCTGGTCTAGGGTATAGCAGGAAGAGAATCTAGAGTTCAAGTGATCACCACCATGTCTAATCTTTCAGGCCAGGTCTTTTAAGTCCAGTTTCCACTTGAGAGGTAACAGCTGGGCCCCTACTGCAAGGATAATATGTCAAACACTGCTGGGGTATAAAAATCACAAAACACATTCCCTGGGAAATACACGTGCAAGAAAGTGAAACTATAGTGAAAAGTGTTCTGACATTTGGTTGTGATACTGAAACGGTATCTACATGGATGCTGTTCAATCTGTTCCTATTTCTCTTTACAGTGAGAGTGACGTTTATAGTATGAAGCCCAAGGGATATTTCTAGGGAAACTGCCTCTTGGAAGTATGTTTTTGAGAACACACTTGACCTTATGCACAAGTAAATACCCAGAGCAAGCCAGAAAGTGGTCATGGAATGGAGGTGGGGGGCACAGTGAACCCCTAAGAGCTCTGTTGCTATACAGGAGGAGCATAGTAGTTATAAGGTACTGAATATGTCAGCAATAAGAAGATCCTTTAATGTTGAATAGTGAGATAAGCCTTAGGGTAAAAACCAGGTGACCTGGGTTTTTCTGTGTGCGCTGAGTCATCCTGCTGTCTTAGGCAAGTCACTGAACTTCTCTGGGTCTTATATTGTTCTTTGTGAAACTGTCAAAAATGATGATTACTAAGCTCCCTCCAGTTCTTAAATTCTGCTTCGAAGATGTGTTTAAAGATTTCTTGTGTAACATTGTGAGCTCTAAGATATGGGTCTGAATTTTAGTATGTGAAAGTTAAGCATCCTTACTATTTACACATTAATTCAGCCACTTCCAAAGCCATTACTCCAAAGGGTTCCACTGCAGGGTGAATGGGAAGGTGAGATGTTTTGGGAGGAGTCTGTAGAAGGCGCTACCAGTATAGACACTAATGGGGGAGGCCAGGTTGGATTAGATTGGATGACTCAAGCAAGCACTGTCCAAAGCAACTTTCTGCAATGAGGGAAATGTTGAAATAATAGAAATGTTAAAAAACATTTCCATCTTCACCATTCTGAACTGCAACCACTAACCACATGTAGGTATTGAACATACGAAGTGTGGCTAGTGTGGCTGTGGAATTTAAATTTCATTAATTTTGATAGATGTACCTTTTTTAATTAAAGATTTATTTATTTATGTATACAAGAGCAGGGGTACAGGCCAGAGGTGTGGGGGGTGAGAGGATTCACCAGAGACAGAGTGGGGAACAGAACAGGCAGATCCACCAAAATACACTGCTGAGGGGAGCAGTGGGCAAGTCAGGAGAGGTCTGCTGCGCTATGT